TGTTGCGGTTTGACCCCATGGGGAAGTGAAGAGAAGAGATCCAGTCTGGGGACGAGCAGGAACAGTTGATTTGCATGGCAGACATGGAGATCCAGGAATCTGAATATTTATCTTGTGACCATCTTGTGACTATTTTAACAACAACAACAACAACAACAACAAAAAAAAATATATATATATATATGTGGCCCTTGGCTTGGTATTGTTGGCAGAATTCTGCCCTTGGCGAAAACTAGTTGAGGAACACTGCTTTATAATAATACCATAATATATTAATATTATACAATATTATATTATTAATATAATTTGTATACAAAATGTAATACAGGGAAGCTCACTGTCTTTGAAATCTGAACAATCAAACTGCCACCACTGTCAAACTGCCACTACTGTCTAAAAATGGAAGAAGACAGAAGATGTCTTCACCAAGCTTTCCAGGGTCTTGTCCTCTATTTTCTCAGGCATTCCATCCTGATTTTCCACAGAGACGTTTTGAGGCTGTTTTAGCATTGATCAAAGGTCCACAGCTTTGATCTTTCGTCCTAGTGCTGCCAAAAGATCACTCCGGTCTCTCTGGCGAGCAAGCTGACAGGACAGTAGACCAACAATGATAATTACAGGCTCCTCTTTATGTTTCTTTCTGTGTCTTTCAAGCAAAAAAAAAAATGGCATAAACAGACACTCTGCTCTACAGCCTGAATTCCTGGCCTGTAGCTCGGCGAGAGAGAAAAGAAGAAAAACTAAAGTGATTTTACTCTTTAGACAATGAAGAGTATAGATTAAAAGAGAACATAGTGCACAAAATAGGATATTTGGGTTTTGAGGGACCTTCAAGGGTTTCTTACATGTTCTCCTAAAGGTTCCTAGTGTGGCAGTTAATTGTCCTTTTATTTTTACATTGTAGGTCCAACAAAGAATTCTCATATCAAGAACCATTTGTGACCACTACAACCATTTGTAGAGTTGACCTACTGTTCTTGATGAGCATATTGGTTTCTGAACATATTTGTTTTATAAGAACCAGAGAATAAATATTCTTTGTGCAATTAGTATCAGGCTAAAAATGCTTTTAGATCTCTTGGCCTTCTATTTTGTGCGATTTTCCTTCTGAATAGAGCTTTTCTACTGTCTTCCAAGCTTTGCAGCCCAAATGTGACCATATCATGAAGTTTTGTTGGATCATTTGGTCAAAAGTAGTAGCATTAAGAATTTTTGTTGTCATTAAACCTGCAAATAAGATGAGAATCAATGAGGCTAATAAACCACAGCACTTCTGTAATATAATATATACGCACATACTTCAGCATACCCCATTAGTTTCATCGCCTTGTTCAAACGCATATAACTACACAAAATGTCAACCAACATTTCACACAGTGAATAAAATCCTTTTACTTTTTGACTAACAGGCGAGATGGGCATAGAAGTCTCCGGAGCTTTTTAGCGACTGCCAGCAACAGGTGAAAGCAGACCCCTGTTTTGACTCAAACAGATGAAGCTTCCATTAGCGCGGCTAGAATTCTGCCTTTTTGGACAGCATCTTTGGACTTTTTGCCACGGCTAACCACTCAGCAGGTGATGCTGATCATTAGTAGGCAGAACATGCAGTTGTGGTCGGTGGCACGTGGAGGGAGCCAGATTCTCACCGATACATGGAGCAGACTGTGGTTGCGAAGGACAAAACATAGACAATAACATCACAACTGAACAGTAGAGTTCAAACGGTTGAAATATATTAAATGTTCTATTTTATGACAAGTTGTGAAAAGAAAACGTTAATGTGACAGTAAGAACACATGGGTTGAAAGCACCTTTTCAGAGCGTTACAGGAAGTCTGTTATGCTAAAAGTTGATCTGAGTACTTAATCTATTTGCATTTGCCTGACTTTTTGTCTGTCTGTGATGTTGTATGTTCCTCTATTTTGCATTATTGGTCTTTACAGTGCATATTGGCAGGGTAATATGTGAGAATCTTGTTGTTACACCATTCCAATTCCAATTAATTTTTTTAAATCACAATTTTTTTCTGTACTTAAATGGCTTTCATACTGATATTGTAGTTGCCAAGTTCATATTTCAAGATGCAACCGTTTGTTATGGATGTTTTTTGGGGTTTTTTTTTTCCAAACAACCACTTTCTGTAGTTGCTTTTGAAAAATGACCAGTCACCAACTGTGATGTCCAGCCCAGTCTCGTGAAAAAAAAAATGTCCATGGTGGCAGTCTTTCAAAATGATATTGCGTTGGTTTTTACGTGTATCACTGCAGTTCCCAAGTGAAATGGCGCGTTTAGTTTTCACCGGAACAAACGAACGTGACACAATTCACTGGTTCCTACAGTACGGTTAATAAGATGGTATACAGATTAATCTACTGGGCATGCGCACATCAATACAGCATAATTTTTGTCACAATGTACAACAGTAATTACTGTTTTTGCATTATTGTAAGGGGTTTAGGGTTGGGGTAGGTGTTGATGTTAATAAAACACAATCTAATAGGTAGAAAATTAAATGTATTGTTAGCTTCCGGTTTTAGTGGTATCCCTCCTAGCCACAACCGGTTCCTACAGACATATCGCGGCACGTCGGAAATGAAATGTCAGGTAAGTGGCGCTAAAAGTTTAATTCTCTATTGACTGCGAAATGAAGAAAACATCTCCCCTACACTAAACCCTTCCAACAGTGTGAGCATAAAGCAAGTGTGAGATTAAAACTACATCGAAACAACCATGACGGTTTAACTTGTTTCTATACTACACTTTGAGGTCATCTGTTGAGTGTCGTGTTTCTCATATTTGAACACACTGCCGTTTATACGATTTTTTTCATGTCTTATGCTCACCAAGGCTGAATTTATTTGATCACAAATACTGTAAAACAGTAATATTGACAACCATTACAGTTTAAAGGAACTGTTTTCTATATTTTAGTATATTTTAAAATGTAATTTCTTTTTTGCTGAATTCAAAGCTGATGTTTTTACCAGCTATTACTCTTCCATGTCACATGATCCTTCAGAAATCATTTTAATATGCAGATTTTATGCTTCAAAAACATTTCTCATTATAATAAATGTTTAAAACAGTTGTGCTGCTTAATATTTTTGTAGAAACTATGATAAAAAAAAAAATTCAGGATTCTTTGATTTAACAATATTTAAAAGAACTGGATTAATTTAAAATGGAAATCTTTTCTTATAAATGTCTTCACTGTCACCTTTGACCAATTTGACCATGTGTCCTTGCCGAATGAAAGTATTAATTTATTTTAAAATAAAGTACACAAAAATACTAATGCCAAACTTTTGAATGGTAGAGCTGGTTATGTGATGCAAACATTAAAATGTTAGCTTATAAATCATACAGTGTGGTAAAAGTTGTTTTGAGAGTTTCTTTGTCTTAAGATGAGAAGAGCAGTCTTTTATAATGGACAAAATGCCTTATAATCATAATTTGTGTGAAAAGGAATAAAAGAGTGTTTTACTGCCACTAGTGTTCATTTCAGTTGGAAACTGCAGGGAATTGTATGTACAGTATGTTTTTTTTACAATGAGACTAGGTTGGTGATGTCAGTCAGAAATCTGCCATAATAGGATAACAGATAGATGCAGAAAATGCCTAGTTAACTCAACAATAACATTAATACGTAACCTGTATATACATCATATTAACACCCTTGCTTTAAACTGAACTGGGTCTTAAGCTGAGTCAGAGTAATAAGTTAATGTACTGTACAGTACTCAGGGGAAAAAAACAAAACCAGAACTTAATAACATTTAATAAGTCCCCATCAAATGCAGATGGTATAGCATTGCTCATGAGGAAGAGTCCAGCTATGTGGCCAGCATAGGGAGGAAATGAGTAGATGGGTGTCTCCGTCTAGCTTTGTGGCCTCTGCGGGGTTTCCCTCGGCCGTTCAGTGACACGAACATCTGCCTCCCCCTGTGCTTCCAGTGCAGCGAGGCGTAGGTGTTATAGCCGTTCTCTTCGATGCGCTCTTTGAACTTGCAGCTGGGGCTGTATCTGACCTGCAACGAGTCAAATGAAGAGTGCAGCTTGAGTCACTACTCGAACTGTGTTGTTGACAACATCAAAACGTTTACAGTAGTTTTGTACATGCAGTGTTCTTTTTTACATGTCTTTTGACAGAAATATTCTTTCATTTTAGTCAGTATTTCATTGTCAAATACATTCAATTAAATTCAGTTTTCATCTAGATAACTAAAATGGCATCAGAAGTAATTGATGAAAGTAACATTTTAGTTGACATGCAGGGTTGGGGAGTAACGGAATACATGTAACGGCGTTACGTAATCAGGATACAAAACTCTAGTAACTGTAATCCAATTACAGTTACATCAAAAAACAAAGTATTCAGATTACAGTTACATTTTGTAAAAAGTGGGAATACTATCAGGATTACATTTGTTTCATTTAAAATTAAATGAGTATTTTTACATAATTTTAAATCATGGCGGGTGAGGGCGTTTTCGTACGCGTTTGGCAAATCAATGTCTACTTGCATCACGATTAGTACCAGTTGTGCTGGTTAGACCCTGCTCCGGAGTAGCAGCTAATTTGGTTCTCGAAAAAGGCAGTCCAGTACTAAAATCGCACCCAGTTCCGGCGGTGCGAAAATGCCAAAAAGTGGGTAGTTCCACAATTAGTTTTGGTACTATGAAAAGGTTCCCGCGGTGCGAAAGGCCCTAATGCTGCATAGTTCCTGGTTCTGTTGACACGTGTTGACTCACGCAAATAACACCCGTCTACAAATATTCTCCTCAAACGCGGGATGACTGAGACGCTGCTACAGTAAATGATTGCGATGCTTCCTGCTGTGAAAAAAACGTTTTCATGTCTGGAATTTCACAGTTATTTTGTTTTCAAAGAGGATAAAGGGAATAACATATTGTACAGCATAAGCTATGCATGAAGACTCTTGCTTTAACAAAGGCTACTCAACCAACTTGAACATTTGCAGGTACGAGTCCGATTAGCATGGAAATCATCATGTTAGCTCAAATTTAGTGTTTGTTAGTGATTTAAAATTCCATGGTGTGCATGACTGCAGTTGTAAGTTTTCTAGCGAAAAATGAGCCTGAAAATGTAGAAATTAACACAAGAGTCCCCACAGTCCGGATCAGTCAGAGGCAGATCTGTTGAACACATGTGTTGCAGGTGGCAGACCGAAGAACTTGGGTTTGGGATTCTGGTTAAAGCTTTTCAGCTGTGACTGAGTAAACCCTCGCTGTCAGGTTTGAGCAGGTGTAGCTATTTCTCAACAGCCATTTCATCCAGTTTAAACTCATAGACTAATTATCGTCTGCAACTTTGTGACACTTCCTGGGATGAATGTACTTGTTGAATTACACATGTTTTATTATGATAAAAAATACTGTGTTCTATCAGAAAGACTTGGAAAACAGAATAGAAAATGTAGCGATAGAATAACATCCTTAGGTGTAAGCTATTTCTGATGGGTTTGGAAATTAAATCACTGTAACCGATAAAACAGAAGATACTGCAGCAATTTAATGTCACTATATAACAAACTTCTATCATTCATTATTGTTCATATGTATTTTGTGGTTAACTCTAAAAGCAAAAAGCAAACAACAGTCCTCCAATGCTTGCCATCTTATTCCTGAAATACAATTTTTTGTCATTTTATTTATTTATTTAAATGCTTTTTGTAATATATTTATTAATCTTTTGGCTTTTTAAGTTTTTTTTGTGTGTTAATTTTTAAAAATGTATTTACATTTACATTACATATATGCATTTGGCAGATGCATTTATCCAAATCAATTAACAATGTATTCAATACATATATTTTAAAAAGCATCTGTTAAATGCATAAATGTAATTTAAATGTATTGCAACCTAGAAAATGCAGTAAAAGTAACAAAAAAGACTAAAATAATACAATAATATATTAAAATGAAAAATGAAACAATAATAGGGCAACAGCTGACAGGCAACAGAAAGTGAAATCTTTTTTTTGTAACAGTACATATGTAAATTAAGTAATGTCTTTCTTCATAAACTTAAATGGATAACGTAGCCCTTCATCATGAAGACGCACTGATAGATCGCTCAGGTATACAGCTGCGACCTCATTCTATAATGTCTGTCCTTTGAAGGCCAATATGTTATTTACTTGCTGTGTTTACAACATGGTAGCTTTGGTGACGGACACGTGCAAACAGCTCATAAGACATCCAGCCAGTCTCCCAGATGATTGGAGCTCACGTTGAGTTTATGAGGAACGGTCGAGTCAAATGAAAAGCACCGGTCTCTGAAGTAAGTGCTGTTACATCTAATTTTCATTATTAGCTGCTCAAAGGTGTGCGTCAAATCCAATTCAGCTGTGAAAGTCAGGTAGACCTCCTGAATAAAGAACTGGTTTAGTACTTTATTTAATGGGCTAAAACCTTATCTTTCTAAAAAAGAAAAAGAAAAAAATCCCATTCTACCATCATTTGTCATCTAATTTTCATATAAATGATACATTCTTTACCATTATTTGAACTCAGTTGAACCACAGTTGAGAAAATCCGAAGGTTAGTTGGTGCGGATTTATCTAGGTGAAGTTCTTAACGCATGACCACACACCTATAAAGGCCAGTTGGACCTTTATTAATCTTTATTCCCTTTTGAAAATGTCCTCTATTGTGTCTTAAGCTCATGGTCTCTGGAGTGCTCAAAGAATTAAATTTTTCATGAAAAATTTTTTCCAACACAACCTAAAACTTTGAAGACAGTAAAATACTTTGCAGTGCAACCATTTGAGCCCAAATCCCAGCAGAATGGCTCATGAGATGGTTCTTTGTAGTGATTCAACACGTACAGCTACATGGACCTACAGTACAGTGGTGTAATGTGAATGGATAGACCATTTAGAATATACACCATTATGATTTTTGTTGGTAGTATTTTTTATTTTTTTTTATATTAACCCTCCTGTTGTGTTCCAGTCATTTTAACAATGAGAAGATTTTCTTTTCCCCAAAAGGCTAGTTTATGTTATCACATTGGACTAAAACGTTGCTCACACAAGGCATGTGAAAACCTGTGGGGAGAAAAGGATCCTTTTTGTCTCCACCATGTTACATTTTAGGTGTTCCCAGTCAAACAAAAAATGTATTGTAAATCTCTCATTATGCTATTATAGTCATAGATGTTGTATTCATTTTTCTTTTTTTTCTGCTTTTATTCAGTTAGCACAAGTTTTGTATTTCTTTTTAGAACTGACTGATTGTTTTTCCACTCAAAAACGGAGGTCATTTTTGACCAGGAACACCAAATTAAGGGATTTTCAACACAGAACAAGAGTTAATGAACGAATTATTAGTGAGTAACCAATGAGTTTAGTAGGTGAAAATAATATCCGAGAAACTGCATCGTGTTTTCATCACACCTTCGGCAAACTCTCTTGACCTTTGACATGTTTTGCCCGGAGCTGGCAATAAGCTGCTTGAACCATTACAAGCAAAATCCTCATTTCTACAGACTTAGTCAAGTGTAGACTACCCATTCTTCCCATCTCACATGTAACTTCTGAAAGCCCTTTGCACAGTCTTTTTACTCTTTCACTTTTGCCTTAATCTCCCACCCTTTACTTTCTGGAAGTGAGCCCATCTTCAGATCATTCAGCCCTGTTTGACGTTGAAAGCAAATAATTTAAGAAAAAAGCAGGAAGGAGCTCTCAAAGCGATTCCTTTGTCAGAATTATCGTCGGGTGAGAGGAGCAGGAGGAGGAGTTGGTGGAGAATGCGGGATGTAGATGCTGGTAATAAGGAAAGTCAGGGCGGAGGTCAGGAGGTTCCTAAAATTATGTTTCCTTTAACTGGCCCTTTGCTCTAATAGGCCTTTGTTACCTACCTGAGATTTGGAAGCTGACAAGGTCTCATTAATGACCCCGCTTTTGTCACACAGAGCAAAGTTCCACCCACATCAATTAAACGAGAAGGAGGGGGTCGGCAGGGTGAAAGATGGAGCTAAGTTTCTCCGGCGAACCCCCTCCCTTACATGCTTTTTAAAGAGGGTCTTTAATTTCCCAGGTTGCCCCCTCCAGCAACCCTCTCTGGCCTGTCGCCCTTTCGGGTGAAAGCCTGGGAATCTCTTGTGTCCAACTGGGTGCTTGTAGTTGATTGACGTACCTTTTCAATTTTTTCACAGTTTGCTTTCTTCCTTTAGAGGGTCCTGATGTTGTTTTTTCTCCTTTTCTTTCCTAACCCTTTTCAAATCACAACCTTTTCATGCTGGGTCCTTATTGCTGTGCCTAATGGCCGTGACCAGCACCTTTGATCAGATCAGCCTCCTCCTAGGTGCTCTTGAGCCGAATGAACTCGAGGCCTATGTGTGTGGGATGAGCGTTCAGGCCGTGAGCCCACCCCAGTCACCGCTGCTTTAAACAGCTTGAGTTTTTTGAGAAACCGCTCTGCACTAGGTTTGGACCGTGTTACACTCAAAATCATATTTTCATCAAACACTGGTGCCCTGGGGAAAAAGGTTATAATCTGATGGTCAGTCTTGGGGAACTTACTTTTAAATGTAATGCATTACAATACTGTGTTACTCCATACAAAAGTAACTAATTGTGTTACTTAGTTACTTTTTATGAAGAGTAATGCATTACGTTACTTTTGCATTACTTTTGCACCTGAGCTGGAATGCTTATTTAGCCTATTTTTAATAACAAAAAGCCCAAAAGTGATATTTTTGGCAACTGTAAAAGTCCTTTCACACCAAAAGTTAAACTAATAAGCCTCAGACTGAAGAAAGTGCCTCTGCCTTTGCATTTCATTCCCAATTTCTCTCAACACGGGGCAGGAGAGCTGTCAGTGAATAAACGAGAAAACAAAGTAACTTGCATTTCTTATTTGAAAAAGTTACTCAAGTAAAAGTAAACTTGTAAATTTAAAAGTAATGCATTACTTTACTAGTTACTTGAAAAAGTAATCTGATTACATAACTATAATTAAAAATAAAATAAAATTCCACAAATGGTGGCAGATGTGTAGAA